CACTATCTGGTTTCACCATTTAATTTAGTCGCCTCCTACGACACGCTAGCACTACGTCAATCATATTCTTTTCAATGCCGGGACTGCATGGCTGAATAATGATAAAAACAGACAGACAGACAGACAGACAGACAGATAGGCAGACGGACAGACAGACAGACAGACAGACAGACAGACAGACAGACAGACAGACAAACAGACAGACAGACAAACAGACAGACAGGCAGGCAGGCAGGCAGGCAGGTAGGCAGGTAGGCAGGCAGATTGCTATTCAAATAATGTGATTTATTCATTTGTTTCTTTATGCAGCACATTCATCACACTCCAAACTATTTTCTCTGCAAACAAAACGTTCGTTTCCGATTTTGTTTGGGTTTTTATTTTGTTTCATGGAAAAGTTTGCTCACACATTGAAGGGGATGCAATCATGTAAATTCTTGCTCAAATTTCGAAACAGCACTCGTTTTGTCCCCTGGAAGTGCCAGCACAATAATATCCGTTTGTTTATAAATCAAAAGTGAATTAACAATCGAGAAAAGTTTGCATTTTTAATAAGTGTTTTACGGCGCTCGCAATTGCATTAGGTTATATGAGCGCGCCGGACACATTAAACATTTTCAGTTTGAAGGAAATTATGAATTTTGCCCGGTTGGCGGCCGAAGCCTACTCTTATCCATTGTAGAACACCAAGGGATCTTTAACGTACACAACTTGCACACAAGACCTCAGAGATTTTTCGCCCTTGTCAGAGAAGGCTAGGTGTAGATCTTTCCTACCAGAAAATCAGGAGTGTGGCTGAAAGACAGAAGTAAGAAGGAGCTAAGGAGTAGCAGTAAAAAGGCTGCAAAAAGACTCAGGACCCAGAGGAGGTGGCAAAAGAGGTGTGGGGAGAGGGGGGGGGCAGAAAGTGGAGACAAAAGCAAGCGACAGAACGTTGTTGGATAGCAGGAAAGGAGGTGAAAGAAGACAGTTTTAAACAAGAAAATGTTTCTGTCACTACCCGAATTCGAACCCGGGACCTTTGAATGAGAGGCGAAGACCTTAACCTCTTGGCCAGGAGAGCCCCCGACAAAATAGTGCCAAACACTGCGCTTCCCTTAGTAGTAAAAAAAGATGGTATATACTGTGTCATTCATATAAAATAAAGATGTCTTTGCGAGTGGTAGCATTTTTGCGAATACGCTTTATACTGTCACATCGCGAAGGACGTCAAAGAAGAAGAAGAAGAAGAAGAAGAAGAAGAAGAAGAAGAAGAAGAAGAAGAAGAAGAAGAAGAAGAAGAAGAAGAAGAAGAAGAAGAATT